TTCCAGTGCTTGTTCAGGGAAATTATGGCTGGGGGCTGGTGTAGAAAACCAGGCAAAACAATGTAGGGAGTACGCTAGTGTCTCTAGAGCAGGCTGGGAGGCTCGGGATGATGGGCCAGGAGCCCATGGCAGGCAGGCAGGCATGAGGATTGAGGATCGGTTAGGAAGGACCCTTTTTCCTGTGTTGGCATCTTTGGTGTGGGTACAATAGTAGAGCCAACTGTGGGTAAAGGGGACTGTGGGTCGCTTTTCCCAAGCTGGTAAGGTTCAAGGACATTTCATTGTTTAATTTGGCCCTAGGATGGCACTAGAGCTGTGAAAAGAAACTAGAAACCCAAAGAGGTGAGGTGTGCTAGACCAGTGGTTCCCAACTGTCCAGACACTGCAACCCTTTAATACATCCCCCCAGTCCCAACATTACTTTTGTTGCTACTTCATAACTGTAATTTTGCTATTATGAATCACAATGTAAATATCTGTGTTTTCCCATGGTCCCAGGTGGACCCCTGTGAAAGGGTCATTCAACCCCAAAGGAGTCACAACCCATAGGTTGAGAACAGCTGGGCTAGACAGAGGAACTTGGGCTAGAACCAGGTCTGTCTGCCTACAGAGCCTGCCTCCTGCCCACCCTCACTGCATTGCCATAAAAGTTCTGAAAAAGTAAGAAGTGACTCTCTAAGTGTCCTTCCCCTTGAGTCTTTATTTTTTATTTTTTAGAAGGCTGTGGTAGACCTAAGCTGTCCATTTTAATCAGAGCCAGCTTCAAGGCCATGTGACGAATTCACATAGTTGGATGTCACTGCTATGTGAGGTTTTGTTTTGTAGAGACAAAGTTTCACCTAGCCTGGGCTGGCCTCAAACTCACTGTGCAGCTGAGAGTGATATTGAACTTGTAATCCTCCTTCCTCTAACCCAGTTTATGTATATAGTATTGGAGATGAAATGCAAGGCTTAGTGCCTCCTAGGCAAACATTTTTATCTATCAGTTCATCCCTCTAAGTGAATTTTGGGCAAGTGACCCACCTTTTCATTTTGCAGTGGTCTGAGACAGTACCTTTCTTTGGTCCTTCTGGGTACCTCTTATCTGCCCTCAGTGGCTTGTCTTACATGCCTTGTCCCTAATTCATCCTGCTTCTTGATACTCTGGGATGGGGCTATTTACCAGCTAGCTGTCCTCTCCCAGCCTGCCACCAGCCCTCTTCTGGCATACTCCTCCCCTGCCCCCCCCCATCTTGGTTCACCATGGCTCCTGTGTCCCTTCAGCCAACAAGGTGGCACAAGTGTCCTGTGTAGGGAGAACTGGAGCCCTGTTTGCTAAGTGCTGTGTCAGCTTAGTAGGGCGGCAGCTGACCTGATGTCAGGGCTGGGGCACATACCCAAAGCTATTGCATGAAACGTAGAGGTTGTGCAGTGTTGATTTCATCCGTTACAGTGTGCTGTTTGTGCTCTGCACATCAGGGCCATTTTGTGTCTCTCTTGTGCCAGGGCCAATAAGGGGGACATTTGCTAAGCAGCACTGTGCTGTGCATTCCCGCTAGGCTGATTATGGGGAAGGACAGTCTCTGACCTCTAGGAGGATCAGATGCTTAATACATGATTAAATGATTCATGCAGCCTCCGCCTCTGAGCCCAGAGCCCAGACTGGGTGCCAGCTACAATGATGGCTTCCTGGGAGGGGGGCTTGAACTAGATTTAGGTGCAAGTGTAGGTGATGGGGGAGGCTGGTGGGTCACATTTAGAAACTTGAATGTTTTCCCGGACATTAACTAGCCATGCGTGTTTTGGGAGGCTAGAATTTGCACTTTATAGGTTAAGCAGATGTCACTATGCTTTTCCTAAGGAGGTAGAAGCTTGAACCCCAGAGAAAAGGGATGGTATCATTCAGCCCAAATTAAGGGTCTCATATCCAGGGTGAGGGCTGCTACCAGTAGCCTAGGCTATCACATAACCACATCCTTCCCTGAGGTCACAGTCTTCATTTCAAGACAAACAAATTTGAAGTAGCTTGGTGGCAGTGACCAGGGCTGCAGTGTTGGAGATGTAGAAGAAAGGTCACATCTGAGAAATTTGTAGAGACCAGACTTGGTGGTTTTGAAACAAGTTCTGGGTTGAGTGAGAGTATTACTGTTTGTTATTCTGAAATTCAGTTCCCACTGGTGAGAAATGATGACAGACTCAAATTGAGGGTGGGGTGGGGTCCAATTGTTTGTTTTAAATAAGAACAGGGTCCCCTGGCTGAATTCTTGTGAATATTGCTAAACCCAAAGTACAAATTTTCAGTTTAATCCTAACTTGAAGCTCTCTCAAACTCAGGACTTGGCAAGGAAAGTCTTTTATTTTATTTTTATTTTTTAAGCACAGCACACCCTGGATACAAAAAGGGTACTCTCCTCACATGGAAGGGCTAGAGAAGAGCCACCGAGTGTGGAGGACGTGGATTGGAAATGATAGCGGTTGCGGGGTGAGAAGGGCCCCCAGTTTGGGTGTGGTGCTGGCAGGTGGGGACTGACCTGGTCGTCTGTTTGTAGAAATGCTAGGCTGCTCCCCTGGCAGCAGGAGTTGGGGAGGGACTGTGCCCCCCCAGGACAGAAGCAGCTTCCTGAGGAATTGCCTTGACTGTCCAGCATTGTCCCTCCCATCCCTGGTCCTCTTTACGCTTGGCATTGAGAGGAGAGGCTTTTGACCACTCTGGGAAAACCACAGTATGTCTGTAGACTCTGAGGATATGGTGGGATCTGCCTTTGGAAGTCGGGATTCCCAGGGAAACCAGTTAAGGAAGAAGACTGGGCCACAGGACTCCAACAGCTAATACTTGTCCCAGCAGCCACTGTTGCTCTATTTGCTTGCTGCTGGCAGCCTGGCTTTTCTTGCCCTGGGGTGGAGGCCTCCAACATATTCTAACCAGTGAGTGTCTTGACTTAGACTCATGGCCAACCTCAGCTCTTAGATCTATCAGGAAGATGGAGTGAGGCCAGGGCAGAGGCTTGGAGCTTGTGATTGTGGGAGGAAGGTGGTGTTCCTGGCTCTCTCTCCTTCGGGTGGAACTCTGAATTCCTGCTGTGCCATCCCACCTGGAGCTCTCACTGTACCTTCATCCACTGGAAGAAGGAAGGCAGTGCTCTGAGACCAGGTGCCCTGTAGTTCCTGCCATGTCATTAGCCTGAAGTGGACTCTGTTCTGCCTTTTCCCTGCAGACTGAGTTCAAGGGGTTGCTGGAAGACCAGAGGGAGATCTAGGCAAGGTCCTCTTAGAGGATAGATGCAGCCGGACAGGACTGGCTCATGTGCTGTTTAGTCAGGGAAAGGGGGAGCTCAGAGGGCAATGGCGACCCTGTGAGCCCTGTAGGCCTGTGGTCAAGTCCCATGGATGGGAGAGTGCAGCATATCTGGTCAGTGTTCTTAATGCTTTCCAGAGGCTGAACAGTAGAAGCTGCTTCTGAGGCAGAGTCCTCAGGGGCAGGGATGCAGAGGGAGGGGTCAGTCTTCTCTTATTTTAGATTCCTTACAGCCAGTCCTGGAGCCACAGATCTCTAACCCCAGCTACTTCAGAGGTGAGGCAGGAAGGTTACAACTTCAAGGTGCATGCCTTTGATCCCAGCACTCATTGGGGCAGAGACAGGCAGATGGCTGTGAGTTCGAGGCCAGCCTGGTCTACAAATTGAGTTCAGGACAGCCAAGGCTATACAGAGAAGCCTGTCTTGAAAAACAACATCAAAAAGTCCAATGTAGACAACTTGGAGAAAGCCTGTGTCAAAATGAAAAGGAAGAGTAAAAAGATAAGAAAAGGAGAGGGTACTTGCCTAGCATATATATGAGGGCCTTGGTATGGAACCTTCAGTTCCATACCACAGTAAGTGTTCCTTCTATCACCAAGAGACTGGGTTCCCCAAGCACCTGGCTTACCCAGGGTTACGTTGGTCTGCCTGCCAACTCCTTGGGCTGTTTGAGACTGCCTGAGACCCACTGGCTTTTCCCTGGCCTAGCATCCATTTGCTGTGTTCACTGGAGCCAGCAACTGCCTCTGCTTGGAACTTCCTCACCAGAGTGGTGTTGTGGTGTGTTGTTTGTTTTTTCCCCACTGTCTCTTTCTACTTGGTCAGAAACAAAGGAACCTCTCTGCCACCACCCACGGCAAGTCTTTGGAGAGCTGATAGGGTGGGGACCTTCCTGGCCCTCATATTTTAGCATGGGCCATCTTGGGAATACAGTTTTCTTCATCTTCATCTACAAGGCAGGGAACAAGAATTACACCGTGAGCCATGTCATGCGGTAACTGTGCCTTGCCTCTCCGTATACTTAAGATTAAAATAATACCAAGCGCTCAGGGCCACTCGAGCCTCTGTTCTTGAACAGCACTAAGCATTTTTTCCCTGATGGGAACTTCTGCTGAACAGTGCTGTCTAGGCATGAGGACTTAGAAAGGGTTCTCTGCTATTTTGCCCTTATGGTGAAGTGGGCCCGGTACCTGATCACAGAGATAAGTGCCAAACCTCAGGGGGCAGGCTAAAAAAAGGATTTGAGCATGAGTGTGTTCTGTGCAAGCCATGAGATTTTCGGGGAGAGGAAGGTGGGGGCTGAGCATGGCATGAGTGTCCTCCCTCCGGTGGGTGATCTGCCTGGGGCTACCTGGGTGCCTGTGGGTGGTGGGAGACTGGAGTTTTGGTTGTACACTGAAGTTGAAGAGCATGTAGTGGGAGGTTGTTATACTTGTCCACGCTCTTGTACACACACACACACACACACACACACACACACACACACCAGCCTCAGTGACAGTAAAGCCTACTGGTTGTCCTTTCTGAAATGATTCCCTAGTTCTAGAGGTGTGCTTATCCAAGGATCTTCTGGCTTGGCCTTGCTAATGGTGGAAAGAGCAGGGTAGGCTGGTGATCCTTTGCTCTGAGACAACTCTGACCTGGATAAGCGGGAAGGTTCGACATTGGGAGTGGGGGCTTCTCTGACCCTTCCCCACCTCCACTCAACACCATCCTTCCTTTCCAGGTGAAAGAACTCGTCCTGGACAACTGTCGGTCAATTGAAGGCAAAATCAAAGGCCTCACAGATGAATTTGAAGAACTGGAATTCTTAAGTACAATCAACGTAGGCCTCACCTCCATTTCGAACTTACCAAAGTTAAACAAACTCAAGAAGGTAAACACTAGGGCCTAGGATGTTGGGCGTGGGGGTGCTTTGTGTTCAGGGAGCATAATTGAGGGCAAGGCCAGGTACGTGCTCCAACTGGCTGGCATGGTCCCTGGGGATGATCCCTTCCCGCTCTCTGGGGAGAGTCAGGAGGTTCTGGGCCCTGAGCCTTCATTTTAAAAGCTTTTTCCCTCCCTGCCTCATACAGCTTGAATTAAGCGATAACAGAATCTCAGGGGACCTGGAAGTATTGGCAGAAAAATGTCCGAACCTTAAGCATCTAAATTTAAGTGGCAACAAAATAAAAGACCTCAGCACAATAGAGCCACTGGTGAGTCCCTTGGGGTCCTCCCTTTCCACTGGGGGCAGTGGGGATTGCTTTGGGGAGCCCAGCTTTTGTGATTGTCTTTTGAACTCATTTCCCCTCTTATCACTGTTTCTTTGACTCTCACTCTGTGCTGTAAGCTAAAGCAGGAACTGTTTCTTATTTCTGCTTAGTCCAGGAGAATTCGGTTTGACCAAGGTCACTTGGCCAGAATGGGCAGCCAGTGTGGGGCAGGGAATGGACCCTGGTCTGCTTGTGCCCTTCAGCCTGGGTTGTACTATGTCTGGGCTTACAGCCTGACTGGCTTGCCACCCTTTGCAGAGAGAGGAACAGTTCTAGATCTAAGCTGACTCTGGAGGTAGTCTGGCCATTTGTTTCTTCCAACGTTTATGCTAGTGGGTTAGTGGTTGGTACTGGCACGGGATTCGGGCAACATGAGGCTGTGTCTGCAGGGAGCCTGGTGCAGGCCTTCCATTTGCATATGGAGAGAAGAGAGTCTCTGTTGGTAACCAGGGCCTCAGACATGCATGATGGATGACATTTCTGGCTCTTGCTTTACTCCTTTTCCAGTTAGAAAGGGAAATGATGGTCAGAATGACAGTCTCTGTGACCAGGGTATGAGGTGCAGCATTCCTTTGATTTTGAAGAAGACCACCTGAAGATGTGATAAACAAGAATCCTTCAGAAACAGAGAAAAGTAGCCCACTCACAAAGCTTGACGGCAGGAAGGTCCTGGGGACACTGCAAAAGTGGCTGGTCCAAGTAAAGCCCGGTCACAGAGCACCCCTCAATCTGGACACTCTCGGGTCAGGGTCACACTGACTGTCAGGTGACAGTGACAGCAAGCTTGCATGGTTCTTTCAAGCCTTGACTTCACCTGACTCTCTGTCTTGGGGTCAGCTAATAAAACACTGACCACAGAAAGTTCTTTCCAGGTCTATCCCTGACCTAGGAACAAGGCAGAGCTATTTCCATCTGCCTGGGAATCCTGATGTCATCATTTTTGTCACAAGGAGAAGCATTCTGAATCACTTGTGTTGGGAGTCTGTGTCGGGAGTGGCTGAGTCAATAGTCTTCGTGAAGCAGTGCGGCCAGACTACACTGGAGACCAGGCACACACTCTTCCCTGCATGCAGATCACATGTGTTCATGCAGCTTTCCCGTCCTGGTTATTGATATGATGTTCTGTGTCCTCCCAGGGTTGGAACCTGTTTTGGGTTGGGGGCTGCCGGGCCCCTCACACATAGGAGCTCAGGTGCCCTCCCTGCCTTTGGGGCTACTGACAATCGCCTAAGTCTATAAACAAAAGTTGTTAGGAATCAACGCTGCCCCTGAGGGCTCTGCTCTTCCTAGTTTGGCCTGGTCCGAATGGCAACAGGGACTCATGGGATAGGACCCAGCTACCTCGCTTGCTAGTTTCCTGGGCCCCAATTTTCCCAGCTATTCAACATGATAGTGTGAACACATCATGTGACACAAAAGGACATACCGTATTCATTGCTACAAGCATAACTGGGTCCTCCTTCGCTTTGTCTCTTGTCCTCTTTGAGAGTTATTTAACAGACTAAGAGTATAGGCCTTTCCTTTCCTTCCTCAGATGCACTGATGATTAGCTCAGTCTTACAGGGGTGGGGATAAATTGCCTTAATGCTTGCAAGGGCTGTGCTCCTGCCTGGTGATCGTTAGATGCCAGAGTTGGGTAGTTCATGTTGTTGTTTTCATTCCCTTTGGACTTCTTGTCACAGGGGTGCACAAAGCCCTCAGCCCATATACCAAAAAGGCCCCGGGTTGGTTTTAAGCCAGTCACAGGCTAAAAAACTCCTGGTGAAACTTTTCAAACCCTCAAGTCCAACCCATTTTGTACACTGAGGTTTGGGCAAGTGTGGGTCTGGGTTGGGGAGACAGGAAGTACTTTACTTGCTATGCAGATGTGAGGACATGCAATCAAAACATCAGGGCCCAAGTAAAAGCTAGGAATGACAACACACCCCTAGAACCTCAGTGCTGGGATATTGATCTCATGTGGGTCCCAGGGGCTGGTAGGCCAGTGGTTTGACCAAAAAGCCAAAAGGGTGAGTTCCAGGTTCAGTGAGAGACCCTATCTTAAAACAAACAAACAAAAAAAATAAGGGAAGATAACCAGAGTTGACCTGGTTATCTGCAAGTGAGTACACAAGCTTCTACACACATGCAGACAGCCACAACAACGTGCCTGCTTTGCTTCTCACTGTAATCCTTGGGCTGGCCTTGCTGCCTTTTCGTAGGGCGGTTCCCCTCCCCACCCACTTTCCATAATTACCCTTACCATTGACTGCCTTTCTCCACTTGCAGAAGAAGTTAGAGAATCTCAAGAGCCTAGACCTGTTTAACTGTGAGGTGACCAACCTGAATGACTACCGAGAAAACGTGTTCAAGCTCCTGCCCCAGGTCATGTACCTCGATGGCTATGACAGGGACAACAAGGAGGCCCCTGACTCTGATGTTGAGGGCTACGTGGAGGATGACGACGAGGAAGATGAAGATGGTGGGTGACAGTGGAGACCCTGGGATGTGGGCTCACCCGGAACAAGCTGGCGAGCCATATCTAGATCCTATAGTGTGACCTCAGACTTGGGAGGGGAAGAGGCCAAAAGAGGGGATTTGGCCTGATGACCTCTTTTTGTTGTTGTTTGTTTGTTTGTTTGTTTGTTTGTTTTTGTTGTTTATCCTGGAGACCAGGTCATCTGCTGGAGAGACTGTGGTGCCCCCTGGTGGTGGCAACATGCAGGGTCACAGTAGGCAATTGTTAGACCCCCTAGAGGAGAAAGAGGGGGCTAAGAACCCCTCCTCCAACCCCTTCCCTTTGTCCACTGCAGCTTCCTTGCAGTTGGCACCCTGCAGCTTTCCTGTGTGTCTTTATAGCCCAAACAAAGCCAAGAGTCTAAATAGGCCCAGTCAATGAAGACATAAGATTTTGTTTGCTTTGTTGGCCTGGGCTCTTCTGTGAGATGCTCATATATTCTGTTGGCCTTGGTGGAGCTCCTTTGCCCGATAAATTGTGAATGTGCTCCTGTTGGGGTGCCAGTGTGGTATGTGGCAGGCGTCTGTGGTGGGGCCCCAGGTTAGCCCCCAGGCCCCTACCTAGTTGTTCCATTACTCAGGCCACATGTGGCCTTGAACAACTCATTTCTCTGAAAAGAGATGAGTTTTGTTGACTTATACTTTCTGATTCCCTGGGCCCACCCCAGAACTACTGGCTCAGACCTCAGGGTCTCTATGGCCTTACCTACACATAGGATCTTCTAGGCATGTGACTTGGAGAAGGGCCTGTAACATGAGTCACTTTTGGTGTGTTTGGCTGTGTGAATGCCACTTTAATGCATTAGAGCAGTGGGGCTCTGGGCTTTGGTGGGGGTGGGGCAGACATGGCCCACCAGGCATCTCAATCCCTATTGTCTTCTTGCATCCCCCATAGAGGAGGAGTATGATGAATATGCCCAGCTAGTGGAAGATGAGGAGGAAGAGGATGAGGAAGAAGAAGGGGAGGAAGAAGATGTGAGTGGAGAGGAGGAGGTAAGGAGACCGGGCAGGGCACCTGCGCATTCTCACCTGAGTCATGTCAGTCACAACAACCCAGGAGCCCTGGTTGTCTGTCCCCTGCCCACCCACAGGGAAGGAAAAGGGGTCCCTTTCCAAGATTCTGACAGTACAGGCTGACAGCAAAGGCATCTGCTGTAGTTCTGGGGAAGTTGGTTTCCGAGTGAGGAAGGGAATGCTGGAAGCAGGGCCTCTGCATGCTTTAGGGGAGGCCTATCTTTGTGCGTGGAGGTCAGGGAACAACTGTTGGGGGTCAATTTTGTTCTTTCTCTGGGTGGCTTCCAGGAGTTAGACTTAGGTGCCAGGCTCGGCAGCAGCAAGTACACTTACCTCGCTAAGCCTTCTTGCCAGTCCCTACTTTTTTGTTTTTGTTTTATTTTGTTTAAACAGTCTGTAGCCTTGGCCATCACTCTGTAGACCAGGCTGGCCTCGAACTCACAGAGATCTGCCTGTCTCTGCCTCCCAGGCATTGGGATTTTTAATAACCAGTCCCAGCCCTGCCTTGAGCTAGCTGTGTATCCTTGAACAAAATTTTTGGCTTTTCTGGGTGTCCTGGCATCTGTGGAGAAGGGATCAAGTGGCCTTTCTCCCTATGTTATTGAGAGTAAAGTAGTGCACTGAAAGGTGTCTCGTGAGGGCTGTGTGGCAGCCATGAGTCATTAGGTCCACACCTTCCTCCTTTTCACGTGTACTAGAGTCAGCGCTCAGGGTCTTGAGCAGCGTCATTTTTCATGAGTTGTTAAGAACACTAAATCTGCTCTTGCTGCTAATGACTAGTATAGCAGGGAGGGTTTGCAGTGACAGCGCGCGCAGACAGGTGACTTCAACTTCAGGCACACACACCACATACACACCATGGTTCTCCTAGTTTCTGCCTCCTGCCTTGATGATACACAAGACCACTTGCCACACACCGCTTGAGCAGGTTTCCTGGACTGCCTTCCCCAGGGCTCGGGATGGTGAGCCGAAAAGCCAGACTCCCGTCTGTTACTGCAGTTTCTCTTTCTTCTGGGTCCAGGCTGACAGACCCACCCTTAAGGGATACTTGGGGGAGGGAACGACTCTTTCCCTGAGGACAGGGTAATGGGACATGCAGGCTGGTAGACTGTCCGCTGTCCTATTCCGCCTGTCATAAGAGCCCCACATGTCAACTTTGTTTTCTTTCTCTGTAATCTCATTGACCATCTGCCCGTATCCAGTTGCCAGTGAAGGATCGCTTAAACACACACACTGTCTTAGCAAACAAACCAGGAAGAGAACTATACAGTGATACAAAAGCAAATTTACTTCAACAGTTCTTGGAAACAGTGGGCTGCTGTGCGCCTTGGAGACCAGGGCTTCAGGAACAGAGAGGCTACCAGCATGGAACCCTGGGAAATACCCAGAGCAAGGGCCCTGGGTTAGGAGGATGAAGTCACAGGCCTGGCTAAATTCCAAGCAAGTTGAAAGTGAGGTCCTCAAAGGCTCTTGAGCCCGTCCCTCCCCCGACACGATGCCTAGGCTTGGCTGAGGGGAGAGGCCAAGAACCGAGAGCCAGGCTTGCCCATTTGATTCTGTAGTTGCTGAAACTGGGGTCTTCCCTTGAAGCTAAAACCATATTGAGGACAGATGCAAGAAAGGATGGCCTACTTTCAACAACAGGGCATCTGCCTGGGGAGTCTGTTCTCCTAAGATCCTGCACACTGGCAAGCTGCCCGTTTTCTAGGGACTTTGCCCAGAGTTTCTAACATGGGGCAGGCCACAACTACCCCGCCCCAAGATGCTTTGCCAATATCTTACTTGATGTGGGAAATGTCTTAGGACACATGTCGGAAGCCTTGATACAAAACAGTAAGAAGCCCTAGCCTGAGCTGCAGGCCTATTGTGAGTTCTGAGCTAGAATGCAAAATCTTCCTAGGCAGGGACATTTATCTCTCTTTTTCAACTCATGTATGTATGTGGGTATACTGTATATACTTGTGTGTGTACACATGTGTTTGTGTATGTACACCCCATGTGTCAGTTGTCTGTCAGTTGTCTTTCTAGATTACTCTCTACCTTATATTTTAAGCCAGGGTCTCTCACTGAACATGGAGCCCATTGATTTGGCTAAACTGGCTGCCAATGAGCTCCGGGGCTTCACCTGTTTGTATCTCAAGTGCTGGATACACAGGCGTGTTGCTGGGCCCAGCTTTTACATATGTGCTGGGATGGAGCTTGGATGGTCAGGCTCTCTGCCACTGAGCCTTCCCAGACCCAGCAGGAGCACCTCTAATGCTCTGCTATCTGTCTTTGCCTCTAGGAGGATGAAGAAGGTTACAACGACGGGGAAGTGGAAGATGATGAAGACGAAGAGGAGGCTGGTGGTATGTCATCCTTTCCGCTCCTTCCTGGAGGCAGCCCAGCCCCTTTGCCTCTAGCATTGCCTTGCTTTGAGGACCAGACAATAGAAAGGGGTATATCCAAGGGTTCTGACACTTTTGTGCCTTTTTCATTAGATGGTCCTGATTCCTAGATGTGCAGCTCTGGGTTCATGGTGGGGACAGAGCTGAATGAAAGATGGCTGCCTGGTAACCGTCCCTTTTCCTTCTTTTCCAGAAGAAGAAAGGAGTCAGAAGCGAAAACGAGAACCCGAAGATGAGGGTGAAGAGGATGACTAAGGGGAATTAACCTGTTTGGGAAAATTCCTATCGTGATTTGACTGTTTTTACCCATATCCCCTCCCCCCTCCTATTCCTGCCCCCAAAACTTATTTTTTTCTGATTGTAGCGTTGCTGTGGGAATGAGAGGGGAAAAGTGTACTGGGGGGTGCCGGGGGGGGGGGGGGGGGGGGGGAGGAATAAAATACTATTTTTACTGCCACTCTTTTTATTTTCCCCCCTCCTTTTTCCTTGTGTCTGGTTTTGCCCCCGTAAATGCAATAGCTTAGCGCACACCCAGCAAGTATTTGTTCCTACTCTCAGAGAGGATGGCTTGGCGGCCGGCCTCTCCGTTTTCTGGTATATCTCACATCCCAGAGTTGGTCAGGAGGCTGTGGCTGGCCTCCCAGATAACTCACAGCTGAAGAGGCACAGAATCCCAGCCTCTGTGTTTGATAACTCTTGTTCTGGTTCATGTGGTCTCTGCCAGAGGTACCCAGCACCCTGGTTTGTAAATAGCAACATAAAGGCGTATTTTGGCACTGGTTCGGGGACATTCCCCATCTCTCATCCCTTTTCCCCCTTCACAGATGGCAGTGGGCTCTGCTTTTGCAAAGAGAACTTTTGTTACTCCAGGCGCTGTGATTCTGAGAGCCAGAAATCGGCAGGCTTAGAAATGGGTTGGTAATCGTAATGAAAAGAAGCAAACCTTCATATTTTAACTTCTTTTAAAAAAAAATCATGTTCTATCTTGTTCTGTAAAATATTAGAGCAGTTTGTTTTGCAGAAATGACAGGAGGACTCATCTCGGGTACTCCAGCTTAGACTCTTTTTACAAATCTAAGCTCTGGAGGCACACTGCATGTCCACTGGGTTTTTGTTCTGTTTTGTTTTCCTTCTCGCATACATCAGGAGCACGGAAAAGGAATGCAAAATTGTATTTTCTTACCTAGTGGGACTCTGAAGTGACAGCAGATTCCTCCTAGTGAATGCTGTTTGCTTTCAGCACCCCCCTTCCGGATCGCTTTAGAAGTGACGTGCTGTTTCCTACACTGTTTCATTTGTACAGAAGAACATCTGCAACTCATTTTTCTCCCACCCTTGAGAAGAGCCAAACTTTGAGTTTTATGTCTGTTTGTCATTGATAAATTTCAATAAATCTTTTTTATACAATTTTTTTGGGGGATGGCTTCTTTTGAGTTCTTATAAGCCATTGATCGTCCTGGGATCAGCTGCTGGCCAGGGAGGGAAGTCTGTATATCACCTGCTAAAACTTTAGGCTCTCCTGAGGATGTGACCTTACACCAAGATTGGAGACATTTTTTGTTCTCAGAGCAAGCCTAATGGCATGTATCCTACTTAAAGGCTACATGCTACATGAAAGAAAGGAAAGAAAGAAAGAAAGAAAGAAAGAAAGAAAGAAAGAAAGAAAGAAAGAAAGAAAGAAAGAAAAGACAGGAAAAAAGGGTGCAAGACTTATAACAAAAAATAAAGCACCCAAAGGGCAGACCAACAATAAATAGCATTTGGGTTTTTGTTTTTTGTTTTTGTTTTTTAATATCTTTGAATATCTTTCATGTCTTTTTTTTTTTTTTTCTTGTTGTTGTAAAGAATGTATTCTTGAAAACTCAGGAACGTATAAAACGTTATTTAACAAACTGTAGACTTCCAGCTGGTGTTTATTGTGTTACTTTTTTACTTGTGGTCCTGGGTACCTCTCTGTTCCCAAGTGTCCCAGCTAATACCATGGCTGGCTTCTGATTGGCTTACGCATCAAATATGTAGACTGTTAGATTTTTTCAGTTTCCCCTGCAGCATTCTTCTGATAAGTACTCACACTTAAATTTTTTTAAATCTATTGTGTGTGTGTGTGTGTGTGTGTGTGTGTGTGTGTGTGTGTGTGTGTTGCATGTCGGAACAACTTTTGGAAGTCAGTTCTTCCATGTGCATCTCAGGGATTGAACTTGGAACATCAGGCTCCATGGCAAAGGCTTTTATTCAACAGGCTAAGCTCTGTGGTCAGGACGGGGAGGCAGGCGGCCATGTCCTGGCTGTGCCGCATCAGGACAGGTGACCCGGGCTCCTTCTGTGGTGCCCTAGATAGCGTAGTGGGGTGGTGAAGAACACGCTCTCCAGACAGCCCCCAGGGCATTCCCTTTCTGTATCAACCTTTGGGAACCTTTGTGAAGGTTCTGGGGAGATGGTTCAGTAAGAAAAGCACAGACATGAGGACCTGAGGACCCTCTTCGTCCTCTGTTGTGTACAGCTAGATGTGGTGGCACACACTTGTAACCCAGCGTCAGGAGGCAGGTCCCCGGGTCTCACCCGTCAGCCACCTCGCCTACGCAGGCCCTAGATTCTGCTGAGATGCCATGTGAACATTTAAATGCAACCACTCAGGTTGACCTGTGGCCTCCATGTTTGCATATGTGCGCACACGATCTGTCCCCCCTGGAACCCACCCCTGCAGATGAGGAAGACTGGAGCTGAGTAGCTTGGGATTACGAGGTGGCCTGTCACACTGATTGTAATGACTTCAGTTTCACTGAATGGGAAGAAGGAAGGGTGAGCTTTTTCTGAGCACTGAACCTGTGTCCAGCCCCATACTTCACTCAAGGTCACACAGACAAGAACCCTGAGGAGCTGAGCTGAGCTTGCGTCTGACCCCAGAGCCAGCCTTCTTGTCCTTACACTAAGTCCCCCTAACCTCCTGCACCTTGACTTGTGCCCTGCTGGGTAAGGTGTCATGGCTTAATTCCTCTGTTCATGCTATCATGACTCTGGAGTCAGCAGTGTACTAGCAAGGGCTGAACAGATCCCAGGAAGCCATTGGGAGTCCTAACTATCCATAGTGGCACCCACCTGGAATCCCAGGACTTGGGAGTTGGAGGCTTGCAGATCAGAAGTCCAGGATCATCCATGTCTATATAAGAAGATTTTGAACAGCCTGGTTACATGAAAATAAGGCTCCTAGTTCATCCTCTAACTTGAAGTTCAGGGAAGGCAAGTGATGGGCCCAAGATCAAACCGTAAGGGAGTGGAGGAGCCAAGCCTCCAGCCCAGAACACCTTTGCCTCTGCTGAAATACGTGATTGAAGGGTGACTACAGTGAGGATGGAAGGGATGAAGTGCAGCATTTGCAGGAGGAATGGAGCCAAGCCTACAGGTTTCATGAGGCAATAGAGCCCATCAAGTTCTCCACATTCCTAGCGCAAGTGGAAGGTTCTGCATCTCCTGGTCCAGCCTGAGGAGAAGATGGTGGGGATGCCCTGGGTGTGGCCTCCAGGCCTCTTGTTTTTAGCCCATCATTCCCTCTGGTCTCCTAGGTTGCACAGAGATGTAAACAGCTTCAGAGGCAGGATGACTATCCAGCTAGTAAGTGTCTTAAAACCCCAGGTGCTTGACGCCAGAGACATGACACGGCTCTTATCTGTGTTAGAAGTGCTAGCAGATGCAGGCCAGAGGTGAGCAACTCAGGCTCTCATTTGCTGACTTGAAAAGACTATTTATATCCTGGTTCAGAAACTCATTGTTCACATTTGGAAGGGTTCCCACAGTGGGTCCCTAACAAGCAGTTCCTGTGGCAGGCTGGGCACAAGCAAGAATAGGACAAGGAGAGGGCCAGCCAGAGACAGGGACAGATCTGAAGCCAGCCAGGAAGGTGCTAGCAGGGTAGACTGGAACACTGGGACTCCAGGAGCAGATGCAGGGGTCATAACAGTTCCTCCTCATAGGGACCATTCGACTGGATGAACCTGAGGTTGTGAACACTCCATTCCTGAAGTCCAGTTGGATGATGTCAGCAGGGTGTTTTCAGTCTGCCTGGTGTCCAGAGACATGTGAAAAGTAGTAGAATACAGACAGTTTTGTTGTTTGAAAGACTTTTTTTTAAAGATGTATTTATGCATACAATGTGTGTTTGCTTGTACACCAGCATGCCAGAAGAGAGCACTAGATCTCATTATAGATGGTTGTGAGCCACCATGTGGTAGCTGGGAATTGAACTCAGGACCTCTGAAGAGTAGCCAGCGCTGTTAACCTCTGAGCCATCTCTCCAGCCAGAAAGATTAAGTTCTGCATGGGGGGAGGGCTATGTGCACATGAGTGCAGGTGTCCAAGGAGACCAGAACAAGAGGAAATCGGATACCCTGGAGCTCACCCAACATAGATGCTGGGAATCAAACTCAGGTCCTCTGCATTCTTAACCACAGCCACCTCAGGGCTACAGAGTGAGACCCAGTCTCAAAAAATCAAACAAGCAAAAACCAACAACAACCAAAAGCAAAACATGGAGGTCACGTAGGGGCATCTTCCAGGAAGAGCTTCATTCTGCAAGCAGAGCCAGGAAATCAGGGCAGCCAGCTTCCCAGGGCTCTCCATTCAGCTTCAGTCTGACCAATGCAAAGCAAGCAGCCCCCAGTTGTCCTTGAAGAAGCCTTTCACTCACTAGAACTCTATCTGGCTGACGATCATCCCCACTACACAGACTCCACACAAATAAGTGCTCATTTTCTGCTTAGTACTGGGCACAGTAAAGGATTCTCAACCAATGCCCCCCCAAATTCCCTGACCGGAGTCTCCAGGGTTTGTGTAAGCTCCAGGTCTCGCCCAGGGGAATCCTGATTCACTCTAGATTGGGGCCTGGAAAACCCGGGACTCAGGGTTTTAACAATCCTTCAGAGCACTCTTACCATGAGGGAAGTTTGGAAAATGGTATTAAACTGAATACCACCAAATGACCTGCAGAGGAAAGTTGGATTGTAGCCACATTCATTCAGTTAAGAGCAGTGAGACTCAGAGTCACTGAGTAACCTAAGCAGCTTGCCACACTGCTGAGCTGAGCTTCAAATCTGGGTCTACATGATTTTCATAGCTCCTGTGGAAAATAGGTGAGGGCAACTACCTGCATATTTCAACATATCTCGGTTGGGAGTTACTGGAAAAAAGCAAGGGGAAATGGAGAGTGAAAACTCTTTAAAAAAAAAAAAAAAAGATAGGTCAGCGAGATGACTCTGTGGGTGCTTGCTGCCAAACCTGGAACGCTCATGGTTGAAGGAGAGAGCCAACTATGAGTCATGTTTTAAGCTGAAATTGCTGTGCTTATCTGTAAAATAGAAATGCCTCTAGGCGGTAAGCCCCACTTGCCCAAGGACAGGTAACTTTCTGGAATGCAGGGAGCATTAATAAAATGCCTGTGGTGGTTTGAATAAGTATGGCCTCCTTAGACGCATGTGTTTAAATGCTTGGCCATAGGGACTGGTACTATTAGGAGGTGTGGCCTTATTGGAGGAGGTGTGTCACTGTGGGGTGGGCTTTGAGGTCTCCTATGCTCAAGTTATACCCAGTGTGGCACACACTCTCCTTCTGCTGCCTGCAGATAAAAGTGTAGAACTCTCAATTTCTTCTCCAGCACCATGTCTGCCTGCACACTGCCCTGCTTCTGCCATGATAATAATGGACTAAACCTCTGATCTGTAAGCCAGCCCCAATTAAATGTTTTCCTTTGTGAGGTCATGGTGTCTCTTCACAGCAATAAAACCCTAACTAAGACAATGTCCTACACCCAAATCTTATGGAGGTATTTTCTCAATTGAGTTTCCTTCCTTTCAGATAACTTTAGCTTGTGTCAAGTTGATATAAAACTAGCCAGGAGAGACAGAGTCAGTTGAGGAACATCAGTTGATGGTTTGTTGTTTTGCTTCCCAAAACTTTCAAGATAGTCCTTATTTATTCAAGGTCACCTGACCAGAAAGGCATTGGTAGCACCAGCACCCATAGCCTCCTGCCCTGCTGTTCTCGGAGCCATCATGGCTCACAGTTAACCACAGCAAGTTTCATCTTGACTAATTTCACACTTTTTCTCAAGATTCGAGTTCTCACACTCCACGCAGTCCTCCCTCTCATCTCTGCAGCTCTCTCTGCTTCCAAGCCAGCAACACAGAGTTCCCGTTATCCCTGGAGACAGATATATCACAGCAAACATGTTCTGAAACTCAGGTACGAGAAGAATGGGTCTCTGCTGCTCACCAGAGTACTAGCTGTTTCCAAACATTGGCGGTAGCTTCTGGCGCTTGAAAAATCAGGTGACGATGCACAGACGGAGAGGCCGAACTGCTGCGGCCATCCTAGGCCAATGCCAGAGGTTTATGTGACCTTGAACAAGTCACCTCTCATTTTCCATCTCTA